GGCGACCCATACTCGCACTCCAGACGGATAACGGGAAAGAATTTGACAATCTCACCATTCACCATCTTCTTTCCTCCTACGGCACCGTGTTTCGTCTCACGTGTCCATACACCTCCCAGCAGAATGGCCGTGCCGAGCGCATCCTACGCACCCTCAATGACTGTGTGCGTACCCTTCTTTTCCATGCCTACATGCCCTCTCGGTTTTGGCCAGATGCCCTCGCCACTGCCACCCTCCTCCTTAACCTTCGGCCATGTCGTCCGCGCTGGAACTACGCGCCTCATCATCTCTTATATGGCACTCCTCCCTCCTACGATGGTCTCCGAATTTTAGGTTGCCGTTGCTACCCCAACACCACCAACACCACACCTCATAAACTCGCTCCTCGTTCCGTTCCATGTGTCTTCCTTGGTTACCCAGCCAACACTAAGGGTTATCGCTGCTATGACCCCGTGTCTCACCGTGTCATCACCTCCCGGCACGTGTACTTTGATGAGCTTGTGTTTCTCTTTGCACAGGCACAGGTGGCGCCGTCTTCCCCTCCCGCGGCGGGTCCTCCTCCGCGCCGCCGCCCGCTGCTGGCCTTGGGTGCTCCGGCCACCCCGCCCGTGGTGCCCTCCTCTGGATCGGGGCCAACCGCGGCCCCCTCCTCCGGTTCAGCACCCACATCGCCTGGAGCCGCGTCGACGTCGCCCACGTCGCCCCGGTCCTCGACCATGCATGCTGGGCCGCATGTTGGGCCGCCGGCTGGACCGGCCCACCCTGGCGCGGCCTCCCCTGGCGCGGCCTCTCCTGGAGACACGTCGCCCTCGCCTCGGTCGCCCGCGCCGACCCCGATCGGTCGCCTGCTGGCGCGATCGTGGCCCCGATCGGTTGCCTGCTGGCGCGATCGTGGCCCCGATGTCGCCTGGTTCTTCTGACGCCGCGGCCTCGTCCTCCGCACGGCCCGCCTCTCCCGTCGACGCCGTGGAGGCCACCGCCTCTCCCGTAGATGCCACGGCCTCGCCACCACCCGCGGCTGCCCCGACGGCCGGCCCCGTCACACGCTCGCGCACCGGCATTTTTCGCCCGAGCTCCCGCTATGCGGATGACTATGTCTGCACCGCCTCGACGTCCGCTCCTTCCCCGCTGCCGTCCTCGGTTCGGGTCGCTCTCCGCGACCCTCTTTGGATGACCGCCATGTAGGAGGAGTTTGACGCTTTGCAGCTTGTTCCCCGTCCCCGGCATGCTAATGTGATTACCGGGAAGTGGGTTTTCAAACACAAGCTTCGTCCCGACGGCACTCTTGATCGCTACAAGGCACGATGGGTTGTTCATGGTTTCCGGCAACGCGCCGGGGTGGACTTCACCGACACTTTTGCTCCGGTGGTTAAGCACGGGACGATCCGCACTGTCTTACAGTTGGCGGTGTCTCGTGCCTAGCCAGTTCATCAGATGGGCATCTCCAACGCCTTCCTCCATGGTCATCTTGAGGAGCAGGTCTTCTGTCAGCAGCCCACGGGGTTTGTTGATCCAGCGTGTCCTGATCATGTGTGTCTGCTCTCCCGCTCATTATATGGGCTCAAGCAGGCTCCTCGTGCCTGGTACCAGCGCATCGCAGCGTTTCTTCATCAACTCGGCTTCCGCTCTACACGCTCCGATGCTTCACTGTTTGTTTATCACCAGGGCACTGACACGGCGTATTTGCTGCTCTATGTTGACGACATCATCCTGACAGCTTGTACTTCTGAGCTCCTTCGCCGGCTTACTGATCGTCTCCATGCTGAGTTCGCCATCAAGGACTTGGGTCCGTTGCACTACTTCCTCGGTGTTGAGGTGGTGCGTCGTCTTGATGGATTCTTTCTTCATCAACGGAAGTATGCTCATGAGCTCATCGACCGTGCTGGCATGCTTAACTGCAAACTGGCCGCCACTCCTGTCGACACGAAGGCCAAGCTCTCCGCTACTGATGGTACTCCTACCTCGGATGCTGCTTTCTACCGGTCCATTGTAGGTGCTCTTCAGTACCTCACCCTCACACGACCGGAGCTCCAGTATGCTATTCAGCAGGTCTCCCTACATATGCATGCTCCTCGAGACGTTCACTGGACTGCTGTTAAGCGGATTCTCCGCTACATCCGCTGTGCTATGGATCTTGGTCTTACTCTGCGCTCCTCCACTGCGACTGATCTGGTCGCCTACTCCGACGCCGACTGGGCTGGCTGCCTGGACACCCGTCGCTCCACTTCGGGTTACTGTATCTTCCTTGGACCGTCCCTGGTGTCGTGGTCGTCCAAGCGGCAGCCCACTGTCTTGCGGTCTAGCGCTGAGGCTGAGTACCGCGTTGTGGCCAACGTTGTTGCGAAGTGTTCCTGGCTTCGCCAGCTTCTTCACGAGCTCTCGTGTCCTGTTGATAAGGCCACGGTTGTCTACTGCGACAACGTCTCCGCCGTCTACCTCTCCTCCAATCCGGTTCATCATCGTCGCACCAAGCACATTGAGCTTGATATCCATTTTGTTCGGGATCAGGTGGCTCTTGGTCACGTTCGTATTCTACACGTTCCCACCTCCCAACAATTTGCCGATATTATGACCAAAGGCTTGCCTACGACGCCTTTTGAGAAGTTCCGGTCCAGTCTCTGCGTCAGCAACGGTGTCGGTTCGACTGCGGAGGGGGGGGGTCCCTATGTACTATATATACTTGTGCATATGCACCCATCAATATATTGTGGTTTGCATCCTATTCCTCTACAAATTCGATTTTAGATCAAAAAACCAAAGAAGAAGTGCCGATCAAGACGACCGGCGTGAGAGAGAAAACCCGGATCAAGGATCGGGAAAAAGACTCTCTAGGGCAGCCGATCAACAAGATCGGCGGACGAACCCTAGGTACGGGTCACGCGGCCCCCGGCGGCGGTCATGGAGGCCGACCGCCCCAGGGGCGGCGCGCGGGTGTGGAAGCGGGGGCGGCTAGGGTTTAGAACCCGGAAACTGATACCATGTTAGAAGGGAGAGAGGGATTGGTGTAATGTTCGCTGTATTACTTGAGCCTCGTGGGCATATATACAGGAGTATATAATCATCTTGAAGTACAAGGCAAAGTAGAATAATATCCTACGCTATCCTAGCTTTCCTAATAATCACCACCGGGGAAGGACCAAGTCGACGCACAACACAACCACAGCCGAGCCCTTAAGATTGTGCCCGCGGCCACCACTGCGCATCTGCGCCACGGCGCCAACAGGCAGTCTCTGCACCAAGCCGCCAGCAGTAGTCATGCCGTTGCAGGGGGGATATTTTGTTCATGCGAACAATCACTCAATTCATTGGATCACTTAGTCATGACTCGTGCCCACACTTCCCGCATTTGCACATTCTTTCCCTGGGAGACCATGACACATCTTACTATTCATTTTTACTTAACACTGTAATTAATTCAGATAATTCCTATGTTTAAAAAAATTGTTTGAACCTCTCATGGAGCATGACGTCATCAACCTCCAGGGAAAATAACCAGTATGGCGTGAGAAAGCACATTCAACGGAAATTCTTTTTTTTATTTTTGAAATAGACGCAGGAGAGCTGCCTATTTCGATTGATTAGAAGAAGCGGTAAAGAAACCGATGCTCGGTTAATTAAGGGAAACCGAGCTAAAACCTTTACAAAGAGTACACCACACCTAGGCTCGGGCAGAGCAGGACATACAGGAGACCGCCACAAGCAGACACGAACTCCAACGACCACTGACTGAAAAAAAAAAAGGACAGCGAAGCAAGAAGAGAGCTGAAACACGGACTCATTTGAGATGTCACAATGCTTTCGCTCACTTGATTGTACGTATGATACAAGAAGAAAGCAGCCAGCTACACAAACAGAGTGGTAAAAGCTCGCTGAAGCTGGAACTTGTGCCGCTCATCCATCGATAAAAACGGGGAGGCTCTGATTCCTGGCTCCTGGCTCATTCAGGTGCCCTTTCAGTTTCAGCAGCTGAGAAGACTGATCAAAATTCGAAAAAAGAGAAAAAACAGGAGAGAAAAACAGAGCTATGGGTAGAACAGAAGCAGATGCAGTATTTAGGGAGAGGGAGGGATTGATGAACCATGCTAGCGAATCCTACTGACAGTGGTGCATAGCCGCATAGCTAATCTGACTACCTGCCTAGAGCGGTCGTGGTGGTGGCGGTTGGGTAGTGGTGGTAATCCATGGCAGCAGGTTCCTGGAGGCGCGCGCGTATTCATGTTTCATGAAAAAAAAAATACCTAAACGAGCTCGCTCCTGTGGCGCGCCTAGGAGATGTGACTCCTGTTCACACTTGACGCGCAAACCCACACACACATCTCCGACGCCCAGTTGTTGCTAATCGATCAGTTTCGTCTTGGGCACTGTATGGTAGTCGCGGTCGCGCTCCCCCAGTCCAAGTCATCGGGGGGATCAGAGTAAATACAACAGCAGGCTTATAGCTCGCTCACATGTCAACTTTGTCTGTGGAGAAGATTTTTCTTTGAGAATCTATGCTGAGGAGATTTTAGGTTCTGGTATGACTTGAACTCCTCCAGGTCACATACCCATCTAGCTTTAGCCAGCTCGTATGCTTGTGCGATGCCACTTACATGCTAAATGAGAAAGGCATATCTACACTAGTGAATGGTATTCTGTTTTGAAACGTACATATTATATCTTTTTTACCGAAGTCAAACATTACAAAATTATATACAAGAAGATCAGCATTTGTAAGACCAAATATGATTCTCTCTCTCTCTCTCTCTCTCTCTCTCTCTCTCTCTCTCTCTCTCTCTCAAGCTCCGATGATGGTTCACAATGACAATGGTCGGATGTGTTATGCTTGTCACATACCAAAAAAACACGTGATAACGGGCCAAACTTTGCTAAATTTAGGGGGCAGAGAATTATAGTTTGAAAAGTTAAGTAAACATTTATAGGTTGTTTGTAGGTGTAGCATTATTGGCAATATAATGTTACGTCTCTGTGGGCACTGCACGCCTTGTCCAATAATTATCACATTACACAACGCAGGTGAGCCGGGGCGTGGGCACGGCATAGAGCCGTGTGGAGCGTGACGCGGTGAGGCCAAAAATGTCGCCCATGTCAAGCTCTGTTGGCTTCATGCCGTTCGGCAGCTTCCAGTTGAAACCATGCACCAGCTGCGCGACGGCGAACTCAACCGCATGTTGGCCGAGCCCCTGCGCAGGGCATGAGCGTCTGCCAGACCCAAACGGCAAGAACTCGTAGCAGCTTCCCTTGAGGTCTAGCCCGGTGGCCTCGCCCTCACCGGCCATGAACCGTGCTGGTCGAAATGTGTCGGCATCCTTCCAGGCCCCGCAGTCGCGGTTGATCGCCCACGCATTGACCAACACGCGGGAACCTCTCGGTACGAAGTAGCCGCCAACAATACAGTCCTTGGCGGCCTCGTGGAGGAGCACCGGGATGGGCGGGTGCATGCGAAGCGCCTCCTTGACGACGCACATGAGGAAAGGGAGCTTGTCGAGGTCGGATTCTTCAACAGCCCGATCGAGCCCCACCACATCGGCAAGTTCCTGCTGCAGCCGCCCGAGCTCGTCTGGGCTACGCATCATCTCTGCCATCGCCCACTCGGTTGTGGACCCCACCGTCTCCGGTCCACCAAATAGCATGTCCTATATGCCGTACAAAGATAGCCACGTCACCACAGTAGTAGGAAAAAATATTCCTTTTCTTTTAGGAAGTCATATACCAGTACAATGATAAAACCAAACAAATGGAACTCTTTTTAAATATGTGTGGAATTTCTTCTTTTTGTGGGTGTGGAAATTCTTTTTAGCATTTCATATTATGGATAGACGCTAGCTATCTTAAAAATTGTACTCCCTCGGTTCCAAAATACATGTCCTGCTTTTAGTTTATTATTAGTATTATTAGTACGAGCAATGCTACACATACATATTTCTACAGGAGTTTACATGATTGATTTGATGTGGCAGTTTTTGATTGGGTGTAAGGGGAGGACATGGGCCCATCCCCATAAAAATGGAGGGTGTGTGTGTGTGGGGGGGGGGTGTTATGAGTCTGTAACAGCCTTTAAAGTCCCGTGTAGCATTTTTGTATTAGTACTCCGTCGCAAAAAAAAAAGCATTAGTAGTACTCAGTAATAAAAAAAGTACCAACTGAAGTTCGTGAGATTGTGTGAACAGAGATAGTATACCAGTACAGCAAATTACTCGCGTACCATGATCATAGCTTTGACATTATCCCGCGTGAAGCGGAGAGCGTCCTCTCTGCGCTTGCCGCTGACTGGGTTCGCGTCAGCAAGGAAGGCGAGCAGGCCATCTACCAAGTCGGCGTCGGGGTCTGCCGGGTTCTTGCCCCTCCTCATGTGCTCGTCCACGATCTTGTCGATGAACCTGTCGAGAGCGCCGCGCGCCGTGCTGAGCCGGCGGTCGAAGCCACGACGGCCCACCCAGGCGAGCCACGGGAAGAAGTCACCGATGTGGAACAATCCCAGGAGCCTCGAGAACTCCTGGAGGATGGCGACGAACTCGATGAGCCCGTCGTCGTCGCGGGTGCTGAAGGCCGCGCGAAGATGACGCTGACGGTGAGGTTGAAGATGAGCTCGCCGAGGTTGACGGCCTCGCCGCTGCGCCGGCCGACCTCGCGGGCCAGCGCCCCGTACCCTTGGCGCACGGCGACCCACGTCTCGGCGCGCCGGCGGCTGAAGATCCTGGTGACGCAGAGCTTGCGCATCTGGCGCCAGTAGGCGCCGTTGTGCGCGAACGCCATGTCGGAGCGGCCGTAGGTGAGGTAGACCACGGCGATGGTCGCCGGGCGGTTCGCGAAGGCGCCGTCCTGCGCGTGCAGCACCTCGCGCGCGTACTCGGGCGTCGACACCGCGAACACGTGGAGCCAGCCGAAGCGGACGTGCAGCAGCCCGCCGAACTGCTTCGCTAACGCGGCTAGGCCGCGGTGGGTCAGCTGGTCCACCAGCGCCATGTTGCCGATCACCGGCAGCGGTTTGGGGCCCGGAGGAAACGGCGCTCTACCCAGCCGCCGCCTCTGCATGGCTACGAACGCCAGCGAGGCGAGGAACAGCCACATCAGTGGATCCCCGACGAGTTCCATGGCGATCTTTGCAAAGGTCGCCATTGACAATACTCACGATCGAGCACGATCTATCACTGCCTAGCTTCAAACAAGAAACTCCGCTGTTATCCGCGTGGATGCATGTGGCCTTTATATATAGGAGTACTACCGTAGTTGAAAAACAGTAGCGCGTCACACCGCATGATAGCAATTGCAAACGAGGCCGACTATTTTTTTTTTCTTTTTTCTTCTTCTTGCGGGTGAAGTGTTCCTTTGTTTTATTCCACTTGCACGCCCACGCATCACACGTGAACTAGCATTAGTGTTTCTGTTTTCGCATCAAATAATTAATACTACCACCGGATGGGTTTTCACAATGCTTTACTTGATTTTTGTGTTTGACTCTAATTATCGAGAAAAATATCAACATGCACGCTATCAAGTCAATTTCACTAGATCCAACGTAAAATATTATTCTCATGCTGTATTTACGCAAAGTACCTATTGAAAATAATATTTTTATTGATAAACCTGAAGAACCTTAAATTGGATATTTCCGTGCTTGGGAGCCTTAGCCTCGCATGAGCCTGGACCAAGAATAATCAACAGATACTTTTGTGGATTTCATAAAAATAACCTAAGTGAGATATGTTGAAACATCTAAATCCGTGACTTTTCAAAACAAAATAACAATGTAATTTATACTCCCTCCGTTCCTAAATATTTGTCTTTCTAGAGATTTCAACAAGTGACTACATACGGAGCAGAATGAGTGAATCTGCATTCTAAAATATGTCTATATACATCCGTATGTGGTCACTTGTTGAAATCTCTAAAAAGACAAATATTTAGAAACGAAGGGAGTAATTCATAAAAGAAAGCGCATGATATATGTTTGATGCCTTAGATCAGTAGCCGAGGGCTCTTTTATGGGTGGAGTTTTTTTTTTTTTTGAGCTGTTTGGATGGGGTTGTTAGGATTTTTTTTTAAATGGAGTTGGTGCTACGGGGGACGGTATAACTATATATATGTCCAGTCAGCAATATATAGCTTATGTAGTGCTCCCAATAGTTGGGGATTTCAAGCTAAGCGCCTTCAATTAGTAAGGTATAACACAACAGTGTATTGGGGATTTCTAGCTAGGCACCTTCAATTAGTAAGCTGACACAAGCAGTGTATGTTAATTCTTTTATAACACGTGAACGTGTGAACATTAAAACTTACAGTTTTGCTAGAACTCATCTAGATGAGATTTAATTTGGTCTCATTCATCTTTTATAGCCATTGGATGTGATGCTATAAGATGCGTGTGTGCTGACGTGGGTTGTATCCATTCTTGTTTTTTAGATGAATGAGACCAAATTACGTCTCATCTAGATGAGTTCTAGGTACTCCCTTAAACTTAGGTTTCAATGGGGCTCTGTGCTCTTGGATTGACGCCACAGCTGTACGCGGAAATCAGATCTCAACAACCTCATGGGGTGACGTTGTAGGGGATGGAGGTGTTGTGGCATCTACTGTGTTTGCTGGGATTCTCAAGATCATTATAGCATTCGGTGGTAGCAGAGAATTGTCGCCCATACCCCTTTAAAGGGCCTCTATAATTCGCGGAATTTTCAAAACACGGATATGATTGAATGTGCAACAAAATTGTGGACTAGGGATTTTTGCAAAATTGTGTGTTTGATTTATAATAAAGGGAAAACATATGAATAAAAAATTACTACCTCGAGTTGCCAGTGCACTTGGCACGCACCACAAAATTACTCCTCGTCGAAGTTTGGGTTGCAAGGGCACATGTGTCAAGCTAGGCACATGGCAGCAAGTTAGTTTGAGTAGTGGAGTTTGGACAATACAGTGATGTGATCAAACGACACATTTCTTTAGGAGGGAAAGAAAAAGAACAACGGAATATTGCCTCAAGAACCTTAAATTGGCTATTTCCGTGCTTGGGAGCCTTAGCCTCACATGAGTCTGGACCAAGAATAATCAACAGATACTTTTGTGGATTTCATAAAAGTAACCTAAGTGAGATATGTTAAAACATCTAAATCCTAGACTTTCAAAAAACAAATAATAACGCAAATTATTATTCATAAAAGAAGGCGCATGATATATTGTTTGATACCTTAGAGTAGTTGAGGGTTCTTTTATGGGTGGAGTTGTTAGGATTTTTTTTTTTTTTGAATGGAGTTGGTGGTACGGGGGAGGGTATATATATGTCCAGTCAGCATATGTAGTTTGTGTAGTACCCCCAATAATTGGGGATTTCAAGCTAAGCGCCTTCAATTAGTAAGCTATAACACGGGCAGTGTATTGGGGATTTCTAGCTAAGCACCTTTCAATTAGTAAGCTGACACAAGCGGTGTATGTTTTTTTTGTTTTTTTTTGCGAATGAATTCTTTCATTACTCAAGTATCAGAGAATACAATTCGTCCCACAAGTGCCAAAACATCATCCGGACCAGAGCCTAGCCAAACCAAAGTTCGGCGTTGCAACCTACCAAAATTTGCCAAGGCATGACTAACCCTATTACAGCTCCGACGAATATGAGTAATGCAAGAATTCCTTTCTCCCAAACTACTAATGATCTCCCTGATAATGAAAGCATATTTAGATTTGTTGCTATTCCCTGTCTTAATCATATTGACAGCCTCTAAACAATCAGATTCCACATCTATTGGTAAGATGCTCCACTGAAGGGCCAAAGAAATACTTTCTCCCAAACTTTCTCCCAAATTATCGCGCAAAGCCGGGGTAGCCACAGCCCTGTCCAAACGCAGTGTATGTTAAGGGCTCCTTTGATTCAAAGGATCTACACATGAATTTTGGAGGATCATAATCCTTAGGATTTTTTCCTATGTTGGCTGTTTGATTTAAAGGATTGAATCTTACGGGAGTTTTTTCCTAAGGATTTCTTTGTACTACTTTCCATAGGATTTCTACCATCCATTCAAACCTCTTTGAAGGAATCCTTTGTTTTCCCTATGATGCAATCAAACAACCATAAATCCTATAGAATGGAGATGAGTATGACATTCCAATCCTATGTTTTTCCTATTCCCGTGTTTTCAGAATCCTATGAATCAAAGAGGCCCTAATTGTTTTATAACATGTGAACGTGTGGACATTAAACTTAGGTTTCAACGAGGCTCTGTGCCGTTGGATTGACGCCACGGCTGCACACGGAAATCAGATCTCAACAACCTCACGGGGTGACGTTGTGGGTGATGGAGGTGATGTGTCATCTACTGTGTTTGCTGGGATCGTCAGGATCATTCTAGCATTCGGTGGCAGCAGAGAATTGTCGCCTATACCCCTTTAAAGGGCCTCTATAATTCATGGATTTTCCAAAACACGGATAGGATTGTATGTGCAACAAAATTGTGGACATAGAGAGTTCTGCTTATGGCTGCGCATCGTTCCGATGCAAAGGCCGGGGGCAAGCCTCCTTTTCCAAAAAAAGGGAATTCTACAGAATTGTGTGTTTGATTTATATTAAAGGGAAAACATATGAATGAAAAATTACTACCTCAAGTTGCCAGTGCACTTGGTACGCAACACAAAATTTACTCCTGGTCGAAGTTTGGGTTGCAAGGGCACATGTGTCAAGCTAGGCACATGGCAGCAAGTAAGGTTGAGTAGTGGAGTTTGGACCATACAGTGATGTGATCAAACGGCACATTTCTTTAGGAGCGAAAGAAAAAGAACAACGGCATATTGCGTCCGCTTGTGACGTACACTCTTCAACTACTTTAATTATGTGCAATATATAGAACATAAAGTGACATGTTGCCGCAGCCATCCATAAGATATACCGCTCTTACCGGGTCAGTCGGACTTACGTTGGTTTAGGTGTTACACAAAAACATATCACTGGAATCATATTCGAATGAAGTTCTTAAATATATATTTACTTTTTGTGGCATATAAGACATATTTTATTACTAAGCGCTTAGAACAGTGGCTCGTTTTCCTGGAGCTTGTCGCGATAAGGCAAGCAGATAAACTTCCCTTGGAGCATTGCTGTGTTAAGCCGTGATGAACCTGACCGGCTGTCTTCTCTTTATATACAGAACACCCAGGTTGAGTGACAGTAGCAGTTACAAACACATGATCATGGAAAGTAAAGAGAGAACTCTAGACCTTCTATATTCTAGCACTAAGCTCTAATTGCTCAACATTACAACTCATGTGAGGAGCAGCACTAACTCATAATTATTCTAACATCCCCCCTCGATTGAAACGTGGGAAGCACATTGAGATCGCTTCTGAATCTTTCAAACTGTTGATCAT